GCACAGCGCCCACTGACTCCCTGGGAGGCGGGGCCCTTGTACCCATATGAGGCATCAGGCCCCAAGTCCTAAGGTGGGTACGGTATGTTCCTCACCCTTCAGCCTAGGGCCCATCTTGTTATAATTTCCCCCTTTGTACTGTCTTGTCTTTTTACCTATCTCATTCCTTCTGTATCTCCAAATGACTGCTTTTAATACCAAATCCAGCTTTTTAAAAAGCTATGTTTGCAGGGTTGGGGAGGCGACTCCATTAGTAAACCGCTTGCTGCGTGAGTATGAGGACCTGAGTTTAAATCCCCAGAACCTGTGTAAGTGACAGGGTGCTGTGGTACAGGCTTGTAATTCCAGCACTGGAGTTGGGGCAAGCAAAGCAGAAACAGGAAGATCTCTGAGGCTGGCTGACCAGACAGTCTAGCCAAATTGAAGGGCTCCAGGTTTAATGAGAGACCCTGACTCAAAAATTAAAGACACCTGACATTGACACTGGCCTGACATTGACCTCTGGCCTCCACATGTACCCACACATGTTCATTCACACCTGTACACACATATGCTACTTCTGATTTATGTTGGGGGATATTCCAGGAATCTTAGATTATAAAAACAATTCTGTGTTTCTTTTAACATTCTGGGCCAAGGGCTGAGTAGAGCATTTACTCCACTTCTGTCCTCTCCCTTTAATCTACAGCTCAGAAAGAGAAGAGCAGACTTTCACATTCAACCTACTGTGTTGGGCTCCCTAGAATAGTCTGTAACTGCACTCTACTCATAGATGTTCTTGGGTGCCACTAATCTGTGATGCATACAATATGCTTTTAGAGACTTCTGGTAAACCTGCTCCCTTCATGATCTTCCATGATTTGACAATGCCTGAATGCTCCAGCCCTCTGGCTCTTTGGTACTGTGAAATATTAAAGTCAATATTTATCATTTGTACCTCATTCTAAAGGCTTGCTGAACTTTTGGTCATTCAATGTTCTCAAATCCAGCTCTCCTCTCAGAGTACTTCTTGCTTAGAGGAGTCCATGGAGTGTGCCCATGGAGTGACAAGCTCATATTTCTCTCTCCTATAGGGAATTCCAGACCCTAGCCAGTTGCCAATGGTAGCAAGCTGGAAGACCTATCCTCTCTTCTTTGGAACAGCCATTTTTTCATTTGAAAGCATTGGCGTGGTAAGTTTGAGATGAAGGTGGCCTTTCCCTGGACCTGTGAGCCAGTTTCTGGGAAGGAGCTATGAGCTCTGGCTTTGTGTGTACTCTTGGTCATTGGGTTAGGCCTGTGAAAATTACACATGGGATAAAGTAGATTACAGCAGAGAAGCAATCCAGAGATTATTTTTGTCAATGTCTATCCAATGTTTATCTTCCCAGCAATATGCGTTTCCTAGTCTTTTTAAAAATCAAGACTAGTGATTGTACATAATTTAAATGAAAAGACTTCATAAAAGATAAAGGTGTTTTAGCCAGGCAAAGTGGCACATGCCTTTAATCCCAGCACTTAGGAGGCAGAGGCAAGTGGATCTCTGAGTTCAAGGTCAGCCTGATCAACAGATAGATTTCCAGGACAGTCTGAGCTATACAGAGAAACCCTATGTGAACACCATCCCAACAAATATGAGTGTTTTAAACTGCAAAAGAAGTGTGTGTTTTCAATCGATTATGGGCTGGGGATATAGCTTAGCCAGTGAAGAACTCCCTCGAGTGTACAAAGACCTAAGTTCCATCTTCAGCACCACATGAACTGTAAACCTTGCCCTCAGGAGAGGGAAGTAGGAGGATCAGGAGTTCAAGGTCAGCCTCAGCACCGCAGCATATTCACCGGCAGCCTGAGCTGCAA